CTGCAGATATGCCCTACCTTTCTTTTTTCTTTTTTTTAATGAAAGGCACACAGTGAGAGAGAGAGAGGGGCAGAGACATAGGCAGAGGGAGAAGCAGGCTCCATGCACCGGGAGCCCGACGTGGGATTTGATCCCGGGTCTCCAGGATCGCGCCCTGGGCCAAATGCAAGCGCCAAACCGCTGCGCCACCCAGGGATCCCCAGATATGCCCTACCTTTTGTTACTTTTTGTTTCTTGAGAAGTCTCATCAAAAATCTGTCTTTTTTTTTTTTTGTTTATTTTATTTGTGTTTCAAAGGATAAGCTATTGATTTTGTTGTTTTTCTCTAAGGCCCTAACTATGTTTTAGGTAATTTCTGTTTTTCTTGTTTCTTCTATTCTTTTTCCTTTGTGTTGACTCTTTTGGATTTTTTCTAACTTCTTGAGTTGGCCATGTAACTCATTATTTTTCATTCTAACTACATTTAAAATTAAAATTTTCTTTCGTTACTGCTTTGGTTTCTTCCCACAAACTTTGACATGTACTTTTAAAAATATTTCTGTTCTAAGTATTTTCTAATTTACATTATGATTCCCTTTATTTATGTTATATACATTAACTTCCAGAGGTCTGGGATTTTTCAGATATATTTTTATTAACTATTTATAATATAATTGTGTTTTCTGGGTGACAGAAAATATAGTCACTCAGAGCATGTCATGATTTCTAACTTGGATGAGGCTGAAATGCTGGCTGTGGTTCTGCTTGGTTTTAGTCTAAACATTATATATTTATTATATTCCTGAAAGGAAAGGGAAGAATGCTGTATTCTTCTTGGGAAGTGTTAAAGAGCTGAGGATGTTAAATGACATGGTAAGTCCCTCTGTAGAAAAATCACTCCATCAGGTCACCTTCCATGCATATCCTGTGTCCTTTCACTTCTCATGCTGATCCAGAGTCTTCACTCATCAGGGCCAGTCACTAACTAGTTATAATTTTTTAAGCATTCATCTTTCCATGTTAACTTCAGAGTAGTAAAAGCTCTAGGATGTTTTTCACCAAGATAATTTCACCAAGAAGCTGATTTGCCTTCTTAAACAACCAGAAGAAATTCTCTTTAGGTTGTATTTTACGTTGTCAGTGTTTGTGAAAGGGTATTATCTATAGGATCAGTTAGTAAGGGGAAAAATGCCCTCAATTTTTCAGCAACTACTTAAAAATGGACTTTACTTGATTTGTAGGCAAGGAAATGCTGAAGACCCCAAAAAAGGGCCATTTAGTTTTGAAAAGCAAAAGTCTATTTATATTTCTTCTCCACATCAAGGAAACATTCTACACTCACCTACTTGAGCAGGAATTTGAAAGAAAATTATCAAAGTTTTGGGGGTTTTTTTGTTTTTGGCGCTGGAAGTAATTTTAGAGGTCAGCCAAGACTCTTGCTTAACGAATGAGGAAACTGAGTCCTAGAAAGGTTTAGGAATTTATCCATGATCACACCCCTTATTCCTGGAAAAGCTGGAAATGGAATCCAGTGTTTTGCCTTCCTCAACACACTGCCTTATTTGAATGCTCCTTATAAAGCTTCTAACTAAAGATATAAAGATTTCTTTTTTCCACAGCTCAACATTTAGCTTGTAAATATCCCGATGAGCTACAAAACCTGGCAGAGTTGCAAATCCTGAAAAAGAGTAGGAGGTGGGAATTTTCCATACTTCTTGGATTATCAAAGGCTGAAATTAATGACATATGCCATCGCTAGAGATCCTCAGATCCTATCAATGTGATGTTAAATGTTTCCATTTTTTGTTATAACATGAAGAGGTTTCTTTTCTCAGTGGGAGAAAATATCAGATATGGTGTGAAATCAGCACATGGGCCCTCAACAGCCAGTGTAGATAAGATTGAAGGCTATGGAAAGAACATCCAATAATGACAAAATTCAACAAAATCTGTAAATCAGAGTATATGCATGCTGATGGAGAAAGGAAATATCAAGCCTAATTATTCTTAGCCACTTAAGACCATCTTTTCAGACATGACAACACCCTATAGGATCTTCTGCTCCGGCTGTTCAGTTCATGACTTTTCTGCGGCGCTACAGCTGGACCATAGCCTCTGCAATGGAAAGAAGAGAAGCTGAAGGTCAGGCTAGAGGGTGGTGGGCTGTATCAGGCATTGTATATTGCACTAAGAGTATTTGAGAATCATTAAACAATGAGAATCCAATAATGGATTATAAGTTAGAGAAGTAATCTAGTTACATTTGAATTTTAAAACAAACACTCTGGCTGTCATGTGGATAATTGATTAGTGGTATGAAAGAATAGAGGCAGAAAAAAAATCTGTTGGGAAAATATCAAAATCCTCCAAAATAAAAAGGTGATAAGGACATGCATGGAGGCACAGAAGTGATGATGGGGTAAAGTAGGCAGATTTGGGAAATGTTAAGAAGGTAAAACTTTGAATATGAGAGAGGAAAGGAGGAGATTAGTTTAATAAACCCAGGTATGACCTTGGATTACTTGGTGGATAGACATAGTATTCACCAAGACAAGAAATGTAGTTGAAGCATGTTTGTGAGGAAACATAAGGGTTTATTTTCAGATATGTTGAGTTTTACCTACCTTGGCATGCAATGATGGAGAAGAAACCCAGCCTGAAGGTTTGCATTTGAGAGTGCTGAGCATGTAAGTAGGATATATGGGGGAAAGGATGAGTTTCCCAGTGAGAGTGTGCTGAGGGAACAGAACCCAAGACAGAAAAATGACACTGAAAAGGGAGAGGGGGGAACATCTGCTACAAGAAATGGAAAAGTCAGAGAGGTAAAAGGAGAAATAGAAAGTGGTATTCTAGAAAACAAATAATGAGAGAGTTTCAGAAAGAGTTGTATGAGACACCTCAGAGGTGTTCAGCAAAATGGGTACTGAAGACTGAAGCCTTCAATGCTGGGCTAAGGAATTACGGTGCCCCTAAACAGAGAGGATTGGTAGGTAATTCAAGAGAAGAGGTAGTGAGAGTGATAAACTTAATGAAGATAGTGAGAGCAATAAACTTTTGTGATGAGCTAGAAGGGCCAAGGAAAAAGATTGTCAGGGAACATTGAACTCATGTTGAAGGCCACAAATATGTAACGGCAAGAAAAAATTGAATATAGTTGATATATAAGATAAGGGAGGGGGAGGGAAGGGGGAGGGAGAAAGATAGAAGGAGAATCCTTGTCTCAAGACCAAATTCACCCTTGTAGTAGTTGGAATAATTGTTTTTGTCAGATAGAGTGCTTCTTCCCATGGATGGGGATGAATAAACACTAACAAATTACACTAAGAAATTCTTGACTGTCCAATTACTGTTTTTAGTTACCAAAATCACTATTATCTCAAGGTTGAACATGCTGCAATAAAATGAAGACTTCTATTGACTGAACTGAGAAACATGTTAATCCCTTCAGCAACTCAGTTACAAACCATATCCTACTCTGGGTTGCTCCACAGACAACAAAAGTTATCTAATAAATATTGCTGTTCACCTAGAGTCATTTCCACAGAGTGATCTTTAACCTTGACATCAAATCTTGGGGTTGTATCCAACCTAGAATCTAATCATTCTGTCTGGGTAGGACCTTCTCTCTTGCAGATGAGGAATGGAATGAAGCATGGAGGTCAGCTTGTGCTACAGGAACTACTGGGTCGCACTTGGTCGCACTTGGGAAGGGACAGAGGGCTCTCTGTCCTTCCATGGTATCCACTTCTTGTTCCCTCTCATTTTTTTCCCCTTTTCTCTCTCCTTTTTAATCTCTCAATTCTTCCATCTGATTCTCTTCCTCTCCAATATAATTTTCCCCTCATTATTTTTCCTCATTCTTCCCCTTCAATTTTGTCTCTGCCTATCTGATACATTCTGTATTGCGAAAAGACACTCTGGACTTGGAGGTTAAATAATCTCATGGAATCACTATGATTCTTTCTCTTTGATGATGGCTTTTCTTCCCGAGATCTCATTGAAATTGACCTCACAGTGAGAAATAAACATCTCTCTGTTTCAGGTATAATTTGGGAATGTACAGCCTGCTTTTTACTGCTCTGCTCAGACAAGACTGCCATACATACCCCTCTCACAATTACTCATCCTTTCATCCAGTGAGTTTCCACTACTTTGAACACACAAAGATAACAGTGTGTGCACACAGAATTGCTATACAGGGGCCTATTTTGAGTTGGGAAGGATGTCTCTTGATGCTCATTACATCAAAAAGTCAAAGGTTTCTTATAAGGAGAAACTCTCAAGTCATCAAAAAATATTGACCATAAATTAGTTAGAATCTTGGCTCATAGGAATTTTGGCACATAGCAGACACTCAATAGTTATTTGTGAGATAATTGAATAAATGATGATTTTGGATCACCACTATTAGAAATACATACTAAATGAAGTATGTATCAAATACATACTAAAGTTATTTTATAGAACATGTCAGGTCTCCAAAGCATTTATCTCTTCATATACTCTTATGGAAAGCTGGATACTCTGTGGGATTAACTTACTGCCTTCACTCCACAGTAATTCCTTTTAGAAATGTTGAAAACATTAATTCGGTGCCTCAAAACTTGTCTATAGTTCATGGACTTTTCTGCAGTCTTTTACCCAAATAGGGGTGTAGCCTGGAATTTCAGTTTATTGCTCTGAGTCCTTAGCAGTGGCTCCCCTCTTACCTCTAGCGTGCAATCCCAAAGTCACATAAACTTATCATTTATCCCCAGGACACAACTTAGTGTGTGTTTGCTTATGAATTGATCTGTAATAAGCCCACAGGAGCTCAGCAGTATTAAATTTGAAATAAATAACACCCATGGCCAAGAGTTGTCCACAAAATGAACTTCACCTCGCTATTTTCATAAACCTCCAACCCCCACCTGCTGACTGCAAATCTCTTTCAGCTTCAGGAGAGCCAGATGTTCTTCACCCTGTGTACTCAAAACCACCGCTCTGAGCCCCAGGAAAGTGAAAAGGGAACATACTTCACTGTCCACTGCCAAGGGCGCTCCACCAGGATCCAGAAGCCTGGGAATTCTACCCTGGGGAAAGAAAGCAGGAGTTTCCCAGCCAGATTCACCTCCCACCACGGGAGGTTGTTTTTAATTGTTCTTTGAAGAGCCTTTCCAAGTTGTTTAAAGCCTTGTCCGCCCACTCAGGGCAGGTTTTGCTGGACTCCGGGAGCAGTCATGGTTTCTTCCTGGCTCTCCACGGGCGCAGAACTTTGGGCAGAGTTTCCATTTTCCACTCTCTCTTCCCAGGACGGTACCCGACTGACTACTGATACGGTGGAAATGTGCTGGTAACAGCTGTGATCTTTTCCATGGCAAGCTTTTAGCAGTTCGCTTAGTGTTTTCAAAATATCCCTGGGCAATTTGTGTAAATAACATCCTTTCTCTCTCTCTCTCTCTCTTTTTTTTATTAGCAGTGAGCATGCTTTACACAGCTTTTGAGTAAGTATGTCCATTTAAGTTGGTGAAATCACAACCAAAGGAGCCATTCTGACACAAAGTGGTTACTGACTCAGGAAGATATCTTTTCTCATCCTTTTATTTAAGTTCAATCATAATGCAAAAGCTGGAACCTGAACCTAACACTCTGGGGAGAATTTACCATGCATTGACTCATTTAATCCCCCAGCAATCCTATGATATCATTACTTATCTCTACTTTATAGGTAGGAAAATGGATGTTCACATACATAGTAAATGGCAAGACTGGGGTTCATCTATCCAAATCCAAGACTGTAGTCTTTACCACCATGTTCTGTATATTTCCAAAATTCTACAGTAGAACATAGAAGGGTCCCCTAGGAGCATCATCCATTGGTTTGAATAATGCAAAAACGCTCCATTTAATGTAACTGATGAATCACTAAATTCTACTCCTGAAACCAATATTACTCTGTATGTTAACTAGCACTTAAATAAAAATTTGAAAAAATACTCCATTTATTCAATTTCCAGTTGATTTTGAAGTTTATGTAAATTGTCACTGAAGATAAAAATTGGTTTGGCTGAGAGTCCTTGGTGGCTCAGAGGTTAAGTGTCTGCCTTCGGCTTGTGCTGTGATCTGTAGGGTCCTCCCCCTTGGGGAGCCTGCTGCTCCCTCTGCCTTTGTGTCTGCCTCCCTTTTTTCTCTCATGAATAAATTAATAAAATCTTTTAAAAAATCGGTTTGGTTTCAGGAGAAAACATATTTATTAATTTACTTTAACTTTGATTTTGAAACAAGTTCAGACTCATAAAAAAGTGGAAAAACCGTACAAAGTTCCTGTGTACCTTTCTCACAACTTTCACAAATGTTAACACCTTACATAACCACAGTACTATTAGCAAAATCAGGAAATGAATACGGACAACAAAACTGTTAAGTAATCTACAGATCTTATTTAAATTTCACCAATTGTCCCACTAATGTTCTTTTTCAGGTCCAAGATCCAAGTTTCCAAATAACTTTAGTTACCACGGTTCTTCAGTCTCCTACAATCTGGAACAGGTCTTCAGTCTTTCTTTGCCTTTTATGATCTTGACACTTTTGAATAGCATTGGCTAATCTGGTAGAATGACCCTCAATTTGAGTGTGTCTGATATCTAGTCATGATTCAGGTTACCATTTTGGGTGAGAATCTTGTCTTATTACTGGTGATGTTAACCTTGGTCACTTGGTCAAAGTGATATCTACCAAATGTCTTCACAGTTAAGTTGCTATTTTCTCCTTTGCAATGACTTAATATCTGTTCCATAAATTTAAACTCTCTTGCACTCATTTGTGGTTATATCATTTCATCTCTTCGTGTCCTCAGGTATTAAATAGAATTAATAGTCACTGTTCTGCATAACCATCAGTGTTGCTGTGAGGCACAAACAACGTAATATATGTGAAAGTGCTTTGTCAATTATAAAGAGGTATATAAATGTGACAAACTCAAATACTGAATCAACTATATAATAAGAAGCCAGGGCAGCCCGGGTGGCTCAGCGGTTTAGTGCTGCCTTTGGCCTGGGGCGTGATCCTGGAGTCTCATGATCGAGTCTCACGTTGGGCTTCCTGCATGGAGCCTACTTCTCCCTCTGCCTGTTGTCTCTGCCTCTCTCTCTCTGTCTCTCTGTCTCTTATGAATAAATAAATAAAATTTTAAGAAAAAGCCAGAGGTTGACAGATTACCCAGCATTCTTGTTATGTTCTTTCAGACTTCCATTCAAAAGGGAAATTTAGGAATTAATCTGCAATCAGGCATACAAGAAAATTTCTATGCTATGGCATACTCTCCTAGACCACCTAGAAGAGACCAAATCTTCTTTGAGGTTAAGTAGGATCAGATTTCCTTTTAAGGTTCCCAAAATGGTAGCTTGAGCCCTACCAACTTGCTTACCATAAATTAATCAATTTCAAAGTGTTTTGGGCCCTTTCTGAGAGGAGACAATGGTTCTCTTCCACAATTGCTCAGGTTTGGTTACCTCATAGTCTTCATTGTGCATTTACTCATCGTATCAGCGCAGACCTTCAATTCATAACAGCTGAGGACCACAAATATCACCAGCCCTGTGGCCTCTGAAGGGGAACTACTTTCTCCTTCTAGCAAAGAAGAAACCAAGGAGTAATGTCTAATCAGGTCTTATTGAAAGTTTATGGACCATAAAAGGGACTATTTTTTTTAAAGATCTTATTTATTTATTCATGAGAGACACAGGCAGAGACATAGGCAGAGAGAGAAGCAGACTTCATGCAGGGAGCCCGATGTGGGACTCGATCCCAAAACTCCAGGATCACTCCCTAGGCCGAAGGCAGATGCCCAACTGCTGAGCCACCCAGGCATCGAAGGGACTATTTATACACAGTCAACTATGTTATATATGGGTGTGTTCGGAGCCCTCAGGCCCAAAGCCGGGATGATATTCCTTTGGGAGTCCCTAAATGATACTTCTCTGCCTTCCTCCCAGTCTGTTGTCATCTAGAAAAGAAACAGCCAGCCACCCTTCCACAGGTGTGCCCTCTGGCATGTCTGCTTTACTTGGATCCCATGAGATTTCAGGGAAATAAGAAAATCCCCAGTACCTCCCCAAACCTAACAATCTAAAGCCCACAATCCTGAGTTCTTGCTTGTAGTTTCAAGATTCACCTCTTCCCAGGGTGATGGACCATGGACCATTCACTACCCTATGGCACCGCAACCTTAATGTATTTCCCCAAATCTGGCTTATTCAGTATAAATAGAAACCAGCCTTTTAGTCCAGGTTCCATATCATCAAACCCCATGAATTTCTTGACTCCTCCAGGGTAAAGTATTACCTTACTTGAAGCCATTACTCACTGAAATGACTCCAACTTTCGGAGGAGGGGGCGGATTGGGGGCTCCTCAGAAAAGAAATCACTCTCCAAGTCCACTCAATAATAAATATGCCAGGAAAGTCTAATTCAGCACAGAGAAAACAAACATTAGCTCCTAGGTAGCAAGTGCTAAAACATATACTACATTTACATTAAACAAGAGGGAACTTAACTTTTTAGTTTGAAACATCTAAATCTAATTTATTTCACTCTATGCAGGTTTTTCCTTGAGAACTAGGAGAAAGTTCTATATGTTTTACATAACAACAACAACAAAAAAGCCTTTTAGAACATTTTTTCCCAGCTTGCTATATAAATTTGAGCTTCTCTCTCTAAAGGTAAAACATGGCTTGCTACTTTTAAGACAAGATCGGGCGTGTTCAGGGTGGTATGACCATAGACGGCTTGCAAATTTTAAATGATAGTCTTTCTCCACATGTATATTCATAAGACTTTTTTTTTTTCAATTTTAGCCAAAGGACTGAATTTCACATGGAAAGAGAGGAAAGCAGGACATTCCTGTGGCTTCACACTCACTATAGTCACTGTCACTCACACATTTGCTTCCTTACTTGTTGACTCCCTGGAAGCCCTGTGGTCTCCACTCTCTCCTCAGTGTCATTGGCACGGAAAATGCTCCCAGTCCCAAGAGTCCAGTCACACCTTGGCAGGACTCCAAAGCACTCCAAGTGTAAGGATGCAAACTGCAGGACGTCTACAACCAAGAAGGCTTAGAAGGACATCTAGCATGATCAGAGTCTACGGCAAAGCAGAGGAGATGGTACTTCTAATATAGCTCAACACTCTTCACTGTCATCTGAAAGAGTTAGAGGATGATATCTAGGTTTACCTCAGACTCAGACTCTATGACACTATAATATCCTTAGTGGAACTTCACATGACCTTTGCTGTCGTGAAAAATCTATGTGAAGCCAGGCCTTTTGACTTTTTGGGTGCTACCCCTGTACAGAAACGTGGAAGGTAGCCCTGGCTTTATCAAACCTAGGGTACGCTGACTGCCTTCTGGAGGGCAGCCCCTCTACCAGTCTGCCTGTTGAGACCCTCCTTCAATAAACAGCTCCCACGTTATTTTATTTGTTGAAACTTCCTGAACTCAGCTCTCATACATCTTTTCATTTTCTGTATACTTGGTCATGATAAATTCACTACCAGATAATTTAGCAATCCATTGCTCTTTCAACTTCAATTAGTTTGGTCTTATCAACTGAATTATAAACCTGAAACTCAGGATTGAATCTTCTGCCTCTTTGTATAACTCCTAGCACTTCACACAGTGCTTAGCAATAGAGGGAGCTAAATAAAAATATTTCATAGACTCAAGCTGAAAGAATATATTTACACAGATAGGCTAAGACACATGGTGGGTTTTTTGTTTGTTTGTTTCTTTGTTTTTGTTTTTGTTTTTACCATAATATGACTAAACTAATACCAGGCCAATTTAGCATGTTGGAGAGGAGGAAGACATGGAAACATAAAACTCCTTATCAACAATCAGAGAGCTAATTAGCTGGCAAAGTAGCTTATTTGTTTTGTTTTGTTTCCAGAGAGTTCTTGTACTGCTGCTTAAGCTAGCCAAGACTGGCTCAGAAAACTTAGTCCATTTTGGAGGATGTAGGTTTATGTGAAGGTCTCCAGATCACTGTTGAAGTGTGGTTTTAGGCTGGTTCAAAAACACCAAGCTCTGCCCTGGCTTCATATAACTATGGGGACAGGAGCCTAGAGAAGTAGGCAGCATCTAGAATTTCTGAAAAATGTATCAGGCTAAGAGGACCTGCTGGTGTAACTGTAGGTTTTCTGACTTTACCCAGTCCCAAAGCTTTACAGGAGTTGTTATGGAATCCAGAGACCAGAAGATAGCCAGTTAGGCAAGTACAGGAGTGTCTGAAAAAAAAAAATAAAGAGGTTTGGTAGCCTTCTAGAATCTAGACCAGGGATATAGTGCTTTGAGAAGAAAGGCCCAAGGCCCCTTCCTCAGACAACATCTCCGTATGAGCAAGCATGTACTTTAAGGCATTGCTAAAGCACTAAGACAGTCCAGGAAATTATATATGTTGCTGGCTGCAAATGATCCACCAAAAGCCATGCAGATAATGTAGGTCAGGTATCTCCATGATGAATTTTCTAGTACTCTTGGATATTTGGAAAATAACACAGTAAGAGATGCTATGAGAAAAATGTTGTCATATTTGGGTTGCAAACCCATTCTTAAAATTATCATCATGTGCTTGTTTTAATTTACTATTATATTGTCTGTTCCCTAAAGAGATGAAACTTGAAAATTATTTCTGTCATCCACTTCATATAGCACTGCTTTCAATAAGATCACCTTCGTGTTTCCGATGTAAATGATTCAAACCACACTGATCTTTCTTACAGAAGATTTCCATATAGTACTGGTACTTTGTTCCTGTTTCATGTTTTATACATGAAGTTGCTGCATAAAAAAAAATTTCTGTCAACTGAACAAGTTCAATAGCAAATTAAAGACTTATTTTTCTTTAGAGAAAAAAATGTATGACAGTTGTTATAAATAAATACGCAAATGCACTTCCCATTGCCAAGATTTTCCAAAGAAAGCTTCAGTTTGCTCAAACAATAGGCTAGCTCCTAGATCTTCCAGCTACAGGAACTTGTGGTTTTTGGTAAATATTAGCAGAACGGGCCTATTCACAAAGCTTGCACACCTGACCATCTGATCTCAGACACAGTGTACCCTCAACACTTCTGGGAAAGACCAGTTGGAATTTTTTTTTTAGGTTGGACATAATGAAAATTGTTCTACTTAATATTTGTCCACATTGCCACCAGTAACTAGTTTAGTAAACTCCATTTATTAGAAATGCATGGTTGAAAATTGCTAATAAAGAGATTTCTAATTCTTTTCATATATATTCATAATATAAGCAGATACTTATTATTGTAATTATTGATTTTGTTTATTTTGCCAGAGTACACCTCCCCAAAGGTTTACTATGTATAATTATTTGGCCATGTATATATCCATCAGAGCTAATTATTTCCCTTTATTACTGAAAACGATGCCATATCTCTTGCCATGAGAACAAATCTTTTATTTTTAATTTGTTTCCCATGTATTTATTTTTTTATTTTTATTTACTTTGTTTCTCATGTATTTATGTGTCAGTGGCTGATTAGTGTATTTGTCTAATACATACTAAAATCTTTGATACTGTCATCAAAAAAAGAGCTAAAATATGTACTGAATGTCTTCCTTAGGACAAATTACATGATTGCAAAGATTTGACCAATCTTTTTCTGCTCTATGTTTTGAAACATAACTGAGAGCTAATACCACTTCTATAATGCTAGGTATAATGAAGATGAGGAATAACATTTCTTAAGCATCTACCTGGAGAAACGAGAGTGGACGCCTTTTTTCTGCTTTATAAAAATACATAAGTTTGTGTCCATGCTGTCAAGTAGGTTTCACATGAGTATTTTCATGTTTTATTATTTCTCTTAGCCATATGTACTCTGTACTCTATATGTTTACCATTTATGAGTATATCTTTCTCGATTTGTAAAATGAAGTTATCATCCAAATATGGCTCTCTGGCAAAGAAATAAACCCTTGAATGTTTGACTGGCAGGCTTGTTCAATTATACTCTTGGTATGTTACAAATTCAAATGACATTTTCTGCATATGCCCAACATTTGAGAGAACCATAACATCCAGATTTGCTCATGGCTTTTCTTTGGGCTATCAAAATAAGAAACAAGTCTGTATCTTCCAGACAGTAAGGCTGAAAGCAGTGCAAGGAAGTGTGATTCAGGTCAATGAGGTAATTGAGGAAATGTCATGACAACCAAAATTAAAATGAGCAGCCTCATATTTGCATGTGCCAGCTGCTCCTCAGGAAATCTTTCTGGCTGCTTTTTGTTCCTATTAGACAGGATAATGTGGCTGCAAATTATATCCAACTGAAAGAGAACTGACTCACCCTCAGCAGATATTGTACTAGCAGACAAACCCCGGGAAGGATGAAATTCAGAGGAAGAACCAAGCAAAACACATGCATCCATGCACACATATACGCACATCCACATAATTTTTCTCGCCCACTTCTGTTGTGATGATGCTTGGAGATCATTTTAAAACGTTTAAAATGAAAAGTTCCTTTTAACCTCATACCACTCTAAATTGTCTTGCGACTTGTTTATACATTATGTTGTGCAAAATGGTTCTGAAGGCCTGGACTTCTTCCTACTGTCACGCAAACGTTCCCCGGAAGGATAATACTGCCATTGGAAGGTGTCTTCCCTCCATCAGGTCATGGGCTTCACAATCTGGAACAGTTAGTGCATGATACCAGCATGAGTCTTACCTGAGTGTCAATCATCCAGGTATGCTTTTGCTGAGTCTTCTGTAAATACAATATGTAGAAAAAGATATCATGTCCTTCATCTGTACGGCTATGCTCCTATGTTTCACAGATTTGGAGGTCAGCTGCAATGAGGTCTCTGTACCCTACATCCCCATGAACTGAGCAAAGGGGCATTATCCCCTAGAAGACATTTATACGTGTGGTTTTCTAGGTGAATCTCTGTGACTCACAATGACGTGGAAATTGCCATCAATCGTTGGCATCTCTCATGGCTATTATCAGCTCAAAGCAAATTAAGTCGTCACACAGTTGACGCAGCTTCCTCCTTCTCTATTGCAGTTGCTGAGCCAAGCAGAGGAGACTGGCATATTTTCTATCTTGATGGCACAAAGCTCCACAAAATGGAACCATTTTCACCAGTGCAAAGTGTCCCAAAAGATGCTTTCTCTGTTCAAATTCATCGTAGACTTGTAAATTCATTGTAGACTTGTAAATTCATTATATTCCTATAAAGGAATATAAAAGAAATCTTCCATCTAAACCTAATCTCCCTCTCTCTATATATTTTTAAGGTAAGACAGTGTTCTCAAGTCCTAAATGGCAAATTCTCTGACAGTGCTAGGGAAAATTACTCTTAATACCTTTATCCTGTTAAGTTACCATAGTAATAAAATCTCATTCTACTAAAGTAACTTTCTCAACAGGTCAGAGCCTGAAATTCTATGTTGTAAACTTCTAAATACAAAAAAAGCATAAGTTTATTTATTGAAGTTCAAACTGTAGAAATCTGACAGCTTTGAGGACTTTAAAAGATACTGAATCAATTGCTATAAAAGGAAAGCTCTCTTGACAATTTAATTCATATAGTACATTACTATTGAAGAGACTCCCTGGTGATTTATGAAGGGCATGTTTGTGGGCCAGGTTTTGGAATTTTTGCATGAAAGGTAAATTTGTGCTCAGGATGCTTGCATCTTCAAAGGCCCACAAGTTTGGCTGTGGGTGCATGTAGCATTTGGTTTGGAAACATATGAAAGAAACACTGCTATTCCTTGAGAATGTGATTTAACTATGAATTTACTCTGAAACATTGATTTAATGTTTTAACTTATTATATCTGTACTATTTTTATATGTCTTCAATGAAGGCATATAACTTCCATGTTTCAGAAGCTCCTGGAGAGCTGATATTATTTCATGTAGCTGTTAGGCATTAGTAGACTCCAAAGGCAACTAGGCTTTTAACTTCTTCTAATGCTGAGTTGCTTCATTCAATGACATCTCCCAAATTCTATTTGGTCTCAAGTGTACTGTGAACTGAACAAAGAAAAGACTAACTGAGAATTAACAAGTCTAAAATTAACAAGTCAGGAAACAACAAATGTGGGCAAAGATGTGGAGAAAGGGGAACCCTCTTACATTGCCAGTGGGAATGCAAACTGGTGCAACTACTCTGGAAAACAGTATGGAGGTTCCTCAAAAAGTTAAAAATAGAGCTACCTTACAACCCAGAAATTGCACTACTAGGTATTTACCCTGAAGATACAAAGGTAGAGATCCGAAGGGGCATCTGCACCACAATGTTCATAGCAGCAATGTCCACAACAGCCAAACTATGCAAAAAGCCCAGATGTCAACTGACAGATGAATGTACAAGAGGATGTGGTATATATACACAATGAAATATTACTCAGCCATCAAAAAAATGAGATCTTGCTATTTTCAATGACGTAGATACAACTAGAGGGTATTATGCTAAGCAAAATAACTCAATCAGAGAAAGACAATTATCAAATGACTTCACTCATATGTGAAATTTAAGAAACAAAACAAAGGATCATAGGGTAAGGGAGGGAAAAATAAAACAAGACATAATCAGAGACAGACAAACCACAAGAGTCTTAATCATAGGAAACAAACTGAGGGTTGCTGGAGGGGAGAGGGGTGGGGGGATGGGGTAACAGGGTGATGGGCACTAAGGAAGGCACATGATGTGATGAGCACTGGGTATTATATACAACTGATAAGTCACTGAACTCTACCTCTGAAACTAATAATACATTATATCCTTAATTAATTGAATTTAAATTCAAAAAAGGAAGACTGAATGAAGCCAAGGTAGCATAGATGATGCTTCTGGAATGGCTACTTGGTTCATCCCCTCCAAAGAATAGGACACAATAAAAGGAAGAAAACAGGGGCATCTGGCTGGCTTAGTTGGTAAAACCTGCAACTCTTGATCTAGGGGTTATGAGTTCAAGCCCCAAGTTGGGCATAGAACCTACTAAAAAAAGGGAGGGAGTGGGAGAAAACATTATCTCTAAAATTAAGACATGCATTCTACTTAGTAAACATATATATATATATATATATATATATATATATATATATACACATCTGAGTCATCTAGAGACTGATTACAAAGCAGTTGGTGAGCAAGTACAAGATTGTTTAGTACGCATCGAGTGTGCAATTGTTATAGAGATGATGAGGAAAAAGCCATCAGCCCTAGGCAAGTGGTGGTCTTTCTCCTCGCCTTCACACTCCTTCCTTCCACCTCAACCTCTTTTCACCTGGGAACTTGCTCTCCAGGAATCCCACCACTTGTTGATTCAATATAAGGGAGCCGTCTGGGATCCAAGACTTTTCTCTGTAACCCCTTTGAAACATGAAACCAGAATGTGTTTTACTTCCCCTGGGACCAAAGTATCCACTATGTCATAATAACCTAAAACAAAGGCAGAAGATGAGTTTGACAGGTCAGGCAACTTTTCAGTGCCTCTCAAATCACTGCATATAATCAATGTTCTTTCCTGCTGTAATCAGCAGAGACTTATGAGAACAGAGGAGGGTTAAAAAGCATCTTTCTTAACTGAGTTTGTAATTAAGGTATAGGAGAGACTTAACACTCCAACCTTCAGGGACTTGGTAAAGTGAGTAAGGCACAAAATTGTACCTTGGACACAAAATTTAAATGGGTACCGAAATCTCAGTAACCAAGATAGGTAATATTCTAATACAGTAATTTTTAAAATAAAAAATATGCAAAAATTCATAATGTACAAAATATCAAAAGTTTAAAAAAAGATAGAATAGGTACTACTAATTTTTACCTTTTGCCTCAAGCAAATATGGCTTGGTATAAGGTACTAATCCTGTCTTTCAAATTTTTAAATTTTATTCATCATGGATTTTCGTGCATTAATTTTATCCTTGAAAAAATATTTCACTAATATATTATTTATCTTGATTACTAAGAGTTTTGGTGCCCCCTTAAATTTTGCACCTGAGGTCAGTGACTCATTCAATTTATCCTAGCTAATCTCGATCTTGCAACAGGGTCTGTGATAACAAAGGAGAAACGTGGAAGGCACAGATGAATATAGTTTCTAATAATGTCAGAATATTAAAATTGACTTTTCCTGGAATGAAACAACAATTAAAAGCTAGAAGGAAAAGAAAACAGGTCAGGAATATAGTTATATGTTTAGGAATTCTTATAGCCACAAGAGGGCATCAATTAAAATTTTGAGTGAATACACACTCCAAGACAGTATTTAAAAAAAAAAAAAAAGGACAGAGAACTAAGGACTAATCTGAACATTACCATTAGTTCTAAATGATAGATTTTCCCCTAGTGAATTACCACTCCCTAAGTATAACATACTGTAGAAAAGTGGTTCTCAAACTTGAACATGCATCTCAATCACCTGAAGAGTTTGTTGAAGTGCAGATTACTGGACCCCACCGTAAGACTCTATTTCATTAGATTCTGGCTAGGGCCTGAGAATTTGCATATCTGACAAGTTCCCAGGAGATGCTGATACTTCTAGTTAAGACTTATACCCTGAGAACCATTGGACTTGAATAAATAGAATCTCTACAACAGAATGGTTTATTTAAAAATTTATATAGTAAACTACTGTATGGAAAAATCAAATTCTAACATTTTTTAATACTATAAATTCTTCAGGAAGAAACAAAAGGAATGATTCCACCACTCCTCTAAGACCAAACAGATAATTCCAACAAATATGGCTAGTTGGAGCAAGATAATAGAGTGATGGGGATTGCAAACTGGATTACATGTCCAGTGTAAAGGAATTGAAGTTCTATTAAAACAAAGTAAGTCATGATGCACCTGGCTGGTTCTGTGGGTAAAGCATGCAAATCTTGATCTCAGGGTCATGAGTTGGGTATAGAGCCTACTTAAAAAAAAAAAAAAGTCCCAATGGTGTGCCTGGGTGGCACAGTCAGCTGAGCATCTGACTCCTGGTTTCAGCTCAGGTCATGATCATCTCAGGTCATGAGATCTAGCCCCTAGTTGGGCTCCATGCTCAATGCAGAGTCTGCTTAGGATTCTTTCCCCCTCTCCCTTGCCTGTCTGTCTCTCTCTCTCTCTCAAAATAAAATAAATAAGTCTTAAAAAAAAATAAGTCACTATGCAAGACAATTTGTATCTCTGACATTCTGGACCCAGTAAGATGATTACACAGGATCACCTGAAAAAGAAAGGGGTTCAGAGTCTTCATGGTTTAAAATTTGATAAGGTGGTGGGATGCCTGGGTGGCTCAGTGGTTGAGAGTCTGGCTCAGGACATTATCCCGGGTCCAGGGATCAAGTCCCACATCAGGCTCCCTGCAAGGAACTTGCTTCTCTCTCTGCCTATGTCTCTGCCTCTCTCTCCCTTTCATGAATAAATAAGTAAATCTTTAAAAAAATTTTTCATAAAGATAGCAACCAAATTCCTGGGAAATTGGTTTGATTCTTGCTACTAAGGAGGGTAAGAGGATCAGTTGGCACCAGTGACATAAATCAGAGCCCACTAAAATGTAGCTCCTTGCTGTGAACCAAGTCCTGTGATCTTGGGAACTTCAGTGAAAGTCCTCAAGTCACTCATGGATGGAACAATTGACAACATTCCATATTGGAATAAACCATTTAAACATGGGCTATGGCAGCCACAGGCACACAGAGCTTGAGGAATGGTGCTTTCTTCTATTTTCCTGTACCCCACAAATCTTGGAGTCTTTCTGTATCCCAAAAGAGGGGAGAGGAGCACTGAAAATCACTGAGTTTGGACTTCTCATAGATCTTGGAAAATAAAAAGCTCAAGCTGTATTTAGTGTGATTTAGAAATGTGACATCTCTTGAATTCCAAGTGTTAAGAAGCAATCGATACTTTTTTTTTTCAGTCAGAGAAGACCATTTGATAGCAGACCAGCCTAGTTTGGGACATTAATTTGACACTGTTTGTTTACAGACTAATATCTGGAGACTCATATGTTGCCCCCACCACCAAGAATTTGTTAAGAAGTCATCGGTTCCATTCCTGCTTCTTTCAGTATGAATGAGGTGGTACAACCTGTTTTCCACATCAAAATGAGTGAGTCAGCTGAGAATTATATAACAATTTGGACGTGCCAACCAAGTTACCAACAAGAAATGCCTCATGGTTAGACATGGGTGCCTGATTGGATCTCAGTGTAAATAACCTTCCACATGGGCTGTTTGAGCTCCATTTCTTTCCTTACAAATTGT